CTCCATTCCCAGCACCGGGGGTGCAGTATCATTCAGAGGCCCGGCTCCCCAGAGCCCGAGGCCAGAAACAACCACCAAGATCCCCAAGTCTGGTCTCTTGTGTATCCCGGGCCATTACCCATGTGCTGAGCCCCACGGGCCTCCTTGCATCCATGTCAGAGCCCTTGATGCAGCTCTCCATGCCGTAGCCCGTGGTCCCTATCACTGAGTGTACGACTGTGCATCTGGCTGTATTAACCCATCAGTAGTTGGCATGGACTCCAGTCCCCACGCCACCCCGATGGCTCTGGAAGGGGACTTTGCCTCGCAGCCGTCCTGGCATCACCCACACATCTCAGCTGAGATGCCAGGCTGCTAGTGGAAACAGCAAATACCATCAGGCCAAGCACAGATCCCTGCAGAACCCGGCTAGAAACACTCTCACGCGGTGACGAATCCCCCCTGACAACTGCTGCCTGAGAGCTGTCAGTTAGCCAGCTCCTAATCCCTTTCACATGCACTTTATTGATATCGTATAGTGCTAATTTTTTAATCAGAGTGTCGTGCTATACTAAGTCAACGCCTTAGAGCAGGCTGAGTACACTCCATCTATGCCGGCACCTTAATCAACCAAACTCATAATCTCAGCAAAGAAAGAAATGAGGTTTGATTGACAACATCTATTTTCTGACAAATCCGAGCTGCCTGGCGTTAAGCAGATTCTTAGACTTCATTTCTTCATCAGTGGAATCGTGTATCAGCTCTTCCATTCATTTGCATGTGATCAGTGCCAGGCCAGCTGGTCTATGGTTCCCAGAAACACTCCACTTGCCCTCATGAAATATTGGCCCCACCTTCCAGTCTGCTGGAATTTCTCTATTATGCTGAGATTTATTAAAAATTAAGCAGCAGAGGGCTGGAGATCTCCTCAGCCAGCTCTTTGAGGCCTCTTGGGTCCCTGTTATCTCCAGCCGATATCATTTCTGTTTCCAGCAGCCTGGAAAGTGTTTTATCCTCCTGCAATTCAAGTACGGCGTCCCGATACTTTCCAACAGCAGAGAGGAAATATTTATTCAGTGCTTGTTCCTGTTCTGAGTCATTAACGATTTTACCATCTCCATCGACTCTGGTCCACTGCTACAGTAGCTTTTGTTCTTACTTTAAAAATCCCATCTCGTCCTCTGCTCCCTGAGCTGCAAATCTTTCCACGATAGTGCGAATTTCCACGGTCATTTTTCTGCACTCCGTAGCTTCCCCTTTGTGCTGGCTCTTTCCCATTTGTGCATACCGCTTGATTGTATGTCGTGTTGCTGTGCATTTTGCAACAGACCCAAAGACGTGCCTGTATGCCGAAGTTCTCCTTGCAAGTGTAGAGTCATGGCTTTTTGACTGTCAAGGTCTTTGTCAGGACTCCTGGGTTCTCCCACTGGGTCTAGGAGAGGAATCTCATTTAATAAGGGCCACTGATTTAGGGAAGAACGTGGCAATTGGAGCAGAGGGCTGGGAATCGTGACTCCCGGGCTGTCTTCATGCTACTGCTAACATTGGCAATGTCTTTCTACCACTCCGTGCCTCAGTTTCTTCAGCTGGAAAATGGAGGTTGTGGGCTTAATCCACCACTGCCATATAAAGATGGCTATGAATCACTTAACCCAGTCAATGCCCATGATCTTGAGTCCTTCCCAGGGCCTGCAAAGTGAGTTGGGATTGTACGGTGAGAGGGACTAGGGAAGCATGGGCTCTGGTTCTCCTTTCACTGCTAGCAAAGGTGAGGAGTGGGAATGGGGATCTGCAACCCAAAGACATGGAGGAGACCTTGGTCTCAGCACCCCACTTCCAAAGGGGGTTGGTGCAAGAGGAGCCAGGGAAACTGCTGCAGCTGCCAGTGCTGGGTCAGCAGGATAGGAGCGGTGACACCGGGCCAGGGCCACATGAGTGCCACGCAGCCTCCTTCTTCCTCCTGGCCCTGCACCTAGAGGGCTGGAAACTGGGCTGTCACCGACCCTGCAGTCCCTGGGCAGCTCAGCGTCTAGGCTTGCTGGCACCCCTGGGGAGAGGAGCAGTAGCATCACGATGGCAGTGTCCCAGGGGCGTTCCCTTGTCTGGACTCTAGCAGGGCCCCTAGGGATCCAAGAAGCCACCAAGGAGGTGCCTTTCAGGGGAATGAGCATCCAAGATGGAACAGCTGCTGCAGTGGCTGGGAAGCAGAGGGTCAAGGCTGCAGCCTCTGCACCTCATCTTGCCAGACAAACCCAGATGGTCCCTGCCACCAGCTGGAGCTTGACCCTTATGCCAGGGCTGGCTCCATGAACAACACCAGTGGCAGGGGGACCAGGTGCCTAGACCAGGCCTCCAATTTATGCATGCCAAAAAGGAGCCAGATCGTCCTGGTACAAAGGTAGCAGAGGCAGCGGGGTGCATCAGCATCATGCATGGCTGAGTGGAGCGCGGATGTGCCCAGGGGAACAGCCAAAGGGTCCTTGAGCAAATTAACACCCTTAAAGCAACTGATAAGGGCTGACACAGCCTCGCACCCCTATCTCTCCACTCGCATTTGGTGCCTGTCTCTAATAGCATGACCCTAATGGCCTCTCCTGGGGATCCAGGCGATAGCAGCAGCCAGGCACGGATTAGGGGCCAGCTCTGCTCTGCTGCACAACAGCAGGAGGCTGAGGGGAAGCGGCTGGAAGTAGCAGAGTGGCTCTGGACTGCAGCCAGCGCCAGGGAGAGCAGGATCTCGCCCCTGAGCTCCAGAAGGGGCAGTTTCGAGTGTCGACACCTTCTGTGGGCCACGCAGCAGCAGAAATAAGCTAAGAGAGGGATTTGACTGTTCATCCCTCTGCTGACCTGGGAGGAAACGAAGCAGAACCGAAACAAGGAGCTGGGAGGGAGAAGCGCCATCAGGCAGCTCCAGGTGCAGGCCAGGGCTGTGTCTGTCCCTCCACTGGCTTGGGAGGGAGTGGGTGATGGGGCTGTCCCGTGGCGCCCACACCCCCCAGCAGAAAGTGGGCAGGGCAGCAAGGTGAGGGGAAGGGAGCAGATGAAGTAGAGTGGGCAAAATGGGGCCAAGACCTAGGGATATGCACTGAAGCAGAGTACTTTGCCTGATCAGAGCCTGGGGGGTGGGAGGTTGGATGGGGACCTACTCCTAGGTACATCTAAGGGGCATAGCAAGAAGATACCCCTAAGGGGCAGCCCTCGCCTGGCACTTGGGATCGCGGTTCAAGCCCTGGGACAAGCAAACCCCAGGGCACCTTGCCCAGCTCGCATTCCTGGGGCGTTGCCTGCTGCTGCTTGAGTCTGCAGATTGCAATGTACTGGCTCAGTGCAGGAGACCTCTCTGGGCCTGGTCTGTGTGCATGTCCTGTAGGGATGTGGAAGCTGCCCTGGGCCTGACCTTCCCCCTACCACGTGAGCCACTGCCACAGCAGCTGCCTCAGGAACTGGGAGCTGGATCAGACGAGAGGGTTTGTGGCCCTGCCTTTGAACTGCCAGGCTGGAGAGGTCCCAGAGGTCCCCGTCGGGGATGGCGGGGTTGCAGCAGGCTTTGTTGTGGGGTTGCGTGAAGAGATGGACTCAACCCAAACCCCGGAGCCAAACACCAGAGAAGCTGGGGGTTTGGCATGTGGAGCTGAAGCGGGTTTTTCCGGCACTGCACTGGGGTGGGGGTCCCAGGCAGGCATGCATGTGCGTGTACGTGTGCACTTGTGTGCAGCGAGCCTGGTTCCAGCTCCATGCTGCGCTCAACACTGCAGTGACCTCCTTGGCCCCTTAAGACCGATAAAGAGCTCCTCTCCCAGCCCAGAGCCCACTGTTGCACTGCGCCATTTAACACCCCCCCGGTGCTGCACCCCAGAGGCAGCCGCTGTCCTGGCCCGGGCAAAGCTGTCCCCGGCAGAGACGGCTCGTAGGGCACCGCTGATCTCTGTCAGCAAAGGACCCTTTCTGAAGGCCAGTGCCCTTTCCTGCTGGGCCTCACCGGGTTAACGCTCCGGTTGCTCCCTGCTCCCCTGGAGATCACCCAAACTCCATCCCTATTAGCGGCTGCTGGAGGCAGCTCAAAGAGGACTGGCGGCGCGAGGTCTCGGGGTCAAGCTGCATTCCAGACAAGATGATGCTCTCAGGATCCGGGAGCTCCTTAACCACCGATGGCTCCTCGGCTTCCCGCACGCGGGCTCGAGCTGAGCCTCCTCGGGCCAGGCCGTGGTGGCTGCGGTGGACAGCGAAGCCGTGGCCCTGGGTGGAATGTGCGTGAAATCGCCGCTAATCCCAACCACCTGGGCACGTCCGGGGGCAGATGGGGTGTCTCTTCAAAGCCAGGGCCCTGCAGAGGCTCAGCCCCGTTCTCCCTGCCCCCAGCTCCTCTCCCCCTCCTTCGCAAAGCCTCTAAGTGCTGTTTGGGCCGGGGAAAATATTCAGAGGGCAGCAGCTGGGCAGGGCAGGGGTGTGGGGCAGTGGTCGTCTGCCAGAGCCCCTGCTGCTGGCTGGAGCGGGGGAGCTGGTGCTGAGCTGCTCTCACATGTGATTGTCATTAGCACGGAGGAATTTTATGCAGACGCTTCTGATTCTCATCTCCTGAAGCTCCTGGGACAGATTGGCTAAAGGGCTTTGGGGCCAGGGTCCCCCGAGGATGGGGCTGACCGGGGTGGGGGGTCGGCTGGAATCAAATCAGGCCATTTGCACAGTAGTGACAGCAGGAAAAAACAGATCCCCCTTTGCAAAATACCCATGGCAAGCTGGCGTGCCGTGGCAGAGAGGTACACAGCTCTGGCTGCTCCACTCCTGATGTACGCTGGTCAGGGAGAGGGGAGGCAGGAGCTGGGTGAGGGCAGAGCCCTCCAGCCCATGGGGCAGTGCCGTGGCTCTCAGCCAGGTCCTGCTGCTTTGCATAGGATGATCAGGCTGCAAGGAGGGTCGCATACAGGGGCATGGGAGCACACACTGGTGCCCGGAGGTGCCTCCTATGCAGGCAGCCGCTGGCGTGTGGGAGCTGGCACACTGCCTCCATGCATGGGCGCGACATGACAGAGAGCTCTTGGCACCCTGGAAACCTCAACCGCCTGACACCAGGGATGCCAGCTTCACCTCTTGTGAGAGTCACACGACATTGAGCTGTGCCAGCGAGTCAAGGCCAGCATGGCAGAGCCCCAACACTGCAGCAAAGCCCCTGGACTGGCTGCCGGCCCTGCCAGCTGCGGATATACACAGGGTGGCTCTGGATACCCCAGGCAGGTTCGTGGGGGGCTGGGATGTGCGTGTGAGCTGGCAGAGGCAGGGCAGGGAGGGAGCTTTTCAGAGCAGGGGCTGGGGGCACCATGGGGGGGTGGGATTTGCAGCTGTTGCCTGCAAGGGCATGTGCCACCGTGAACCATGGCAGGCGGTAGCCACCTCTGTGCCACCCCTCAGCTCTTCTCCAGCTGGAAACGCAGGGCCTGGCCCTCCCCCAGGAGCAAATCGCCTGCACCTGTGGCTGTGGGAGGGGTTGGGCAGGTGCCTGCTCCCCCACACAGGTGGCAGCCGTGCCTGGATCCGGCCTGGAGGCTGATCTGCTGCTTCCCCTCCAAGCCCCCCAGCACTGAGGTCCTGGTCCCCCACCAGCATCAATCAGGGGTGGGGGGGGCAGAGGGGTATAGGCCAACTGAAAGGAGCACCCCACGTCACCAGCCATGGGAGCAAGGTGCAGGGAGGAGCAGCAAGAGCCTTGGAGACCCCAAGGCAGGTAAGGTTGACTCTCTCCTCCTACTCCCCATCTCCGGCGCTTGCCCCCATACCCCTTGCCCTTTGCAGGGAAGTTTTGCTTTGGGCTCTGGACTGCACACTCACCCCTCTGGGCCCTCACTAGCCCATGCCATGCCCATCCCCCCCAGGTGCCAACCCCACACTGCAGCTTGCACTGTCCGTGGGGCAGCTGAACCAGGACCTCAGATAAGCCTGCATATGGGACCATGGCTCTGGGCACCATGGGGTTTCTGGCTGGCCCGGCACCCCCTCAGGCAACCCCATGGTTGATTCTCTACCCTGGGGACTGTTGCTTCCTCCAGCCTGTGGTCCCATTAGAGGCAGGGCCCAGCCCTCTCCTGGGGGCAGCCCCTGGGCCCTGCCCTCCCTGCTCCCCCTGGTGCAGTGGGATCACCCTGGCCTGCAGAGATTCCCTTCCCAAGCCCTTCCCTGGTCTCTGCTTGCCCTTCTGGCTGGCATGTACAGCAGAAGGCACATGGTGCTTAGCCCAGGCATGGCCCCATCACTTAGCTAAGCTCAGGTTGCCCCTCCTGCTCCCAGCCCGCGATTGCCCTTTGCAGACAGGAGCTGGCTGTGGGGACACCCCAGCCCAGCCATGCCTTCCTGCTGCGGCTGTTTTATTTAGCATCCTTTTAACTTGTTGTTGTGCTTGGAGGCTCAGCCAGTGGAGAGAGCCCATAGCATGTCACCGTGCTTTGGGGACACGCCTGTGTGAGCCGGGGTGGGAAGCCACATGACAGATGGGTTATCGCTGAGCCTCTCACATGGGTGGGGTGGGCAGGCCTGTGTGCAGGTGAACTGCGGCAATGGGGAGAGCTTAGCAGCATGGTTGCAAGTGCATGGAGAGCGAGGAGGGTGGAAAGACCAGGACTCCTAGGTTTGCTTGTCCTCGGACAAGTTACTGCTTTGCTTGTGCCTTGATTTCCCCCTTCAGAGTAGGGGCAGGCATGAGGCTTGTTAGAGATTGCTCAAACAGGGCAGTGCCTCCAAAGCACAGCATGTGCGGATGCTGTCGCTCACCGGCACCCGGCTCTGACCCTCAGGGCTGGGCATGTTTGCAGTGCCCCGTGCAGCTTGGGGTGGGGACAGCCTCGCTCAGCCCCTCCATTCTTTGCTGTTTGGCTCTGCAGCTGCATTGCAGAGCCCCGGGGCCTGGGACGCGTCTGGCTCCATCCACATGCTGCTGCGGCATGAAATGCTGCCGCTGCCGGCTGTCTGGACAGGGCAGTAAATCTGTGCTGGGGCTGTCATGGCAGATGGAGACATCAGCCGGGTGGTGGTTCATACCAGGGTGTTTTTCATGGCCGGCAGGCCCTGTGCTAGGGAGAGAGGCCTTTGCGCGACAGCCTCCTAACAGGTTCTTGACATCCATTGGGGAAGGCTGACATTCAAGGAAGCCGTCAGCCCACCTGGGGCTTGGTTTAATTGGGCGTCACAACTGGTTAATCGAGGGGACCCCATCTCCCGAATCGCTCTGTGGGGGGTGATGTGGGGAGGATCTACGGCTCATGTGCACCTCTGATTGGCTGCTTGCAGGGCGCCACTCTCACTGTCGGTTCTGATTGGGTCATTAGGGGTGCTGGGCTCACACCTGCTCTCCTTCGTATCAAGACCCGGGATGGGGTTGCTGGGTCCCGATCCCCTGGGCCCTCCTGGAGGGACCAAGCTGGCTCTGAGCCTTCAGCCTTCCTCCCTTTCCTCCCCCTTCCTAGTCAAGGATGCCTCACAGTCTGCAGCTCTGGAGGCCGTGCTGGGAGCCAGGGCTCCTGGGGTCCCACCCGGCTTAGCCACCACGTGACAAACCCCTTCCCCCCTCTGCCCCTCCGTAGCATGTACGTGTGGGAGGCAACGAGTCCCAGAAACCCCGGATCTGTCATGAGCTGGCTGCAGGAGGGGGCAGGGGCTGTGGGAGGCCAAAGCACAAAAGCAGAATAATGGAGCGGATGGCGCGGAAGGAGATTTGGGCTTTTTCTTTCCCTGTCTTCCCCAATTCTAATAGTTTGAATTAATTCCATTTTCAGCAGGAACGAAGAGTTCCCCAAGGCCCTCAGCCACTCTGATAAGGCTGAGCTGTTTGTTTGGTCCCTTCGGGCTCCATGCTACCTGCCTCGCTGCCAAATGCTTCCTGCAAACTTTGGGGGGAGATCTTCACTGGCTGTAGCATGCCCGGGAGCACGGGGCTTTGCGTGCATAATCTGCACAGTCTCCTTTGGCCTCCCAGCCCCGTGCCTCGCATTGCCCTGGCCTCTCTGCTCCAGCCCCCATCCACAAATCCAGTCCTGGTATCCCACCGCATTGCTGACTGATCTGCAGCCCCTGGCAGTGCTCTCTACCCCTGCTGCATGCAGCGCCTACCAGCCCTGCGGGGCACCCAGACCGCTGCCCTGCACTCTGGTAATGCCCCACGGCTCCTGTTGCCCTAGACTTGGCCCCTTGCTTGCAGCTGTTCCCTGTCCTGCCATACCCCATGTCCAGGGCTGCTTTGGGGGGGCAAGGCACTGGGGTTTGCTGGGCCCCCAGGAGGGGAACGAGGGCCTTGTCTTGTTGCTGGGTCCCACATTGGCTCAGGGAGCCTGGATGCAGACACACAGGAGAGCGTTGCACTCAGCCGAGCCAGTGGTCTCTGGGCAAGGGAAGGCCTGGGGCCACATTTCACCGCTGTGGTTGCTTCTGGGGAACTTCATGGCACAAAAGTCAAAGGGGCCGGGGAGAGCAGAGAGGCAAAAGGCTGCTGGGTCAAAGAGAGCGGGGGGCAGCCTCTCCATCCGCTCCTGCAACCCCCTTGCAGCCAGACCTCATGGCCCCCTGCCCTTGCCGGGTTCTCCCCCACCTCCCAGCTGTGCTCCAGTGCTGGCGCTGACCTCTCCTGCTGCTGCTTGCTTCCTTGCAGTTGGGCTTTGGGCTGCTGCGAGCAGGGCTGCACAATGATGCTGAGTCCATTTAGCCCAGTCACCCCAATGGCTCCATCTCCCACCCCAGCAAGGGGGAAGTCCAAGCATAGGCAAGCCCAGAGCATCTCCACCAGGGCCCTTCGCCTTTCTCCATCCCGTTCCCACAACCCGCCCCCGCACACACACACAGGCCCCAATCCACAGCCGTCGTGGCAAGCTGATGTGCGCTGGCTCCCTGACACGGAGCACAGCACCAGGGGCCCGTCCATCAGGGGAACGTCCCCTCCGAAGATGCTTTACCGCCACTGTCCCTGCCACCATGTTGAACGGCGTCTCGGGGATCACTGTGCATCACTTCAACTGCCTGCTTGAGCATGGAAGGAAGTGAGCTGTCTCAAGGCAGAAATATGATTTACAGGATAACACGGCGCGCGGAGAGGAGAAGGGAGAGAGAGACGCAAGCAACGGGGCCGGCATTCTGATGACTGCAGCATCCGGCGACACGCGGAGCTGTTAATTAAGGGCCTGGGGAAGGCTGGGTGCGTGCCGCCGACTGACGGGGGCTCCGGGGGGCTTTGTCGGGCAGGATGAAAGCAGGTTAGCATTCAGGAGATGGGAGAGTGGCACGAGCCGGAGCCTGTTCGTGGCTCCTGGGATGCTCCGGCCTGGTGCAGGGAACCTCTTTCCATGGCTGCAATGAGCACATCTGTTGCATGCTGGTGGGGTGCTGGGCCAAGGGCATCTTTGCTCCTCGGTGTCAGCAGCAGTCTGCGACTGGGACGCAGGGGCGCCCTGCAGTGTACTCCAGATGAGAGTCCTCAGGGTTTGCACTGACCTAGGCTGGGCGCTTTTGTTTCGGCCCTGGGAGGTGAAGGACCCCAGCGGTCAGACCTCAGGGCCACGCAGCTGGCTGTGCGCTTGGGGGGGAGCTCAGGACATGTTGGCGGTGCATCGAGAGGGGGCACAGCCCCAGATGCCCAGCTCGGGGTCTGTGATGGAGTGGCTCTTCCAGACAAGACCTGCTGGCCCCACGTGGTCATCCAGGACCCCCACAGCAACCCTGAGAGAGTCCAAGGCAGGCAATGACTCCATCTGCCCACCTCACCCCTGCGAGCCCACGGGACGCAGCGTCGCTTTGCGCCGCGAAGCGGCTGCTCTGCTCCACCCCAGAGGCTGCTGCCTCCCAGCCGCAGAGGGGAGCAACTCCAGCACCCGAACCCTGGGAGATCGTGAGTCCATTTGCCCTCCAGAAAAGACAAGAGTGCCCTTTCTTAGTGCCACAAGTGGGATCCAGAGGCTCAGGCGGACGGTAGAGGTCTTGGGCCTGGATGGCTTTGCAGAGAGGAGCGATATTGTTCTCCTGGCTGATATTGTGACAGCTCCAAAGTGTGGCCTGAGCCTGACGGGAAGGAGGGAGATGGAGCTGGGGCCCCGCTACTGTGACAACTTATTTGGATAAGAGCTCCAGGCATGGACCAGGCCCTCTACAAACACAGGAAGACTTTCCTCCCCTGGTTCGAGCAAACAGTACTGGCTTCGTTGTTTATATAAACCCTGCTCACCACTGACACCATCGCTACTACCCATCTGCTAACTTGCATACAGCCTGATCCTGATAGTCTTGTATTTGCAAGAGACAGCATCATTTATCACTGTCTCCATCAGGTCAGGGAAGGGCTGGAGCCCAGGAGTGGGGGGATTGGGGACTAATGGAGATCCCATAACAGGGCTGGTTAATACGATGCTTCCCCTCCGCAGTGTCTGGAAGTTGGTACAGGGGATTGTCAGCCAGGACTCCTGGGATCTAGTCTGCTGCAGTGCACTGTGGTCTGGGGCTGGGGCTGGGGCTGGGGCTGGGGCTGGGGCTGGGGAGGCCAGGGGGTCCAGTGGGCAGAGCTGTGGGAACCGGGGCTCTGGGGGAGAGTTTCCAGCACCGAAAGGCAGAGCGCAGTCATGGTTGGAGACGGGGTGGGCATTCGGGACTCCGGGGTTTCTTTCCCAGCAGGGTCACGAGACTGCTGTATGATTATGGGGACAAAGCACCATGCACCCGTGCCCGGTGTTGCCAGGGCTGTGTTTCATGTGATGGCTCCAGCCCTCTAGTCTGTGCAGGGTGGTCAACACCTCTCCAAGAAGCAGGGCTGGAGGGTGATGGCCCCAGCAGAGCTGGCATGACCGGCCCATGTCTCACCTGGGAAGTCACACAGTGGGGGCACATGTCAGGGCAGGGACACATGCAAGGTGAGCCCACCCGTGCCCCAAGTGATGGGGCCCAGCAGGCCCCTTCCCCTGCCTCTGGCTCCTCACTGCCTCCGTTCCAATTATCTCCCTCTTTCATCACTGCAGCGCTGTAAGTACAAAGTACCAATTAGCTAGTTTTCAAGTTTAATTAGGTTGGAAGGTAGAGCAAATTAAATCCTTTTATCGTACGTTTCAAAGAGCTTTCCCATCGAGCCCCGGGGATTGGCTGGCTTTGAACGAGGATCGCGCTAGTCATGTGGGGGCCAGCTCGGACTCGCCCGGCTCTCCAGCCACGGGGCTGGGGGTGCCTGCCCTATGTTAGCCAGAGTACCCCTGCCCTGTGGAGTGGGATGTGGGGCACGGCCCCCAGGGTTAATTGGCTATGCCCGGGATGAGCCCCCAGCTTCTATATGCTCCAGAGGAAGTGCCAGTATTGGAAGGGTTAACCTGGAGGACCATGGCAAAGGGGGGGGTCCCAGGCCTGGCAGTGCTGCCCATCCCCATGCCATCTGGGCACAGGAAGTCCAGGCTCTTGGGAGGGCCCTGCCAGCACATGCACTTGGTGAGGGCTCTGACTCTGTCCCCCAGGATCAGCGCCCCACATGGTCCTGGGCACAGAGGGCAACAGCAGGGAGCACGGGGCTCTGTGGGGAGGGTTGTAGGGGTCAGGGAGGTCCGAGGACCCTCCGGGCTGTAACGCTGTTCTCTGCCCTGTGTCCCTTGCAGATAAGCCGCTGCCACAGGGAGCCCCGGGGGACCTCATCGGGATTGTGGGAGGGGTGGTCGCTGCGGTGCTCCTCATCGGTGTGGCCGTCACGGTGTTCGTCGTCTACAGGCGGCAGCAGAAGAGCCGCTCGGAGACCGACAACGACCTGTGAGTAGCCCCTTGGCTCGTGCTGGCCCCACTCCTGGCACCCTGCTGCCTCCAGCTCTGCTCCCCTGTAGTCTGGCCCCTGGCTCCTATTTGGGGCTGGGCAAATGCTTCTCTTCCCTTGTGTGCTGCTCATGCTCAGCCCCTTCTGTCCTGCTGGTTGGTCTCCTCCAAGCCGTACTTCTTAGCTCCTCTCGGCCCCACCATGCAGGCTCCCTCCCCTGCCTGGGCTGGGCAGACCCTTACCCATTCCCCCTGGGAGCACCTCCTGCATGGGCCCAGCTTCCCCCAGCCCTGGAGCCAGGTCAGCCCATTGTGCAGCCCTGCTCTCAGGAGCTTTTTTGCCCTATACAGGGATATGGAGGCCCCCTGGCTTGTGTTATAAGAAGCCCTTAAAGGCAGCTGCATTTTCCCCAGCTTTGCCCATGCAACAAGCTGCCACCCTCCCTGCACGGGAAGGAGGTGCCCTCGTGGCACCCTGCAGAGTCATGGGACTAGGTATGGCCTGTTGGAGTCCCGGCCCTCGCGGCCCCCTTCCCACTCTGCTGTCCAGCCTCGTGTCCTGCTCTCCACTTGAGATCCGCTGGATTTCCAAGGCAGCTGCTCCCCTACAAGCGAGGATGGGTGGGAGTTTGCCCAGGAGCTCACAGACTGGGAGAGGGGAGGGCAGGGGAGCCAGCTCATTAGAGTTGCGGAGTTTAATGAGTTCTTAACAGGATTAGACACGTATATGCAGATGAGCCGAGTTTGCCGTGGCAGTCATTAGGATGAAGATTACAAAGGCTGCCAGTCCTCATGCTCCAGGGCTAAAGCGGATCTCCTGTTTGGGGTCAGGAATACACCAGCCCTCGTGGTGCACTGTGCAGGGTAGGAAGGCTTGGAGCTGTCATCAGGAGCCTCCAGCCATGGCCATCGTCAGAGACAGGCCACCCAACTCGACACCCATTGACCTGATGATTGGCAGCTCTCGCTGCCAGCTGGGCCCCAGCGTCCCATGGCAATGAGAACAGCTCTTGGCTGAGGGTATTCGGGGACCATCCTGAGTGATGCCAGGAGCTGGAGCTCCCAGCACCAGCCTCAGGGTCCCCATCTGACACGGGGATTTGCTGGGGATTAGAAATGCTGTGTGGAGAAAAACACTCCTGGTTGCAGGAGGGTTCACATCCATTAGCAATGCAAATGAGAGGCTGGGAAGTGGGGAGATTATCCACGTGCATCCAGTCGATGGCATGGGTCGCTCAGTGGAAAGCTGGACCGATCCGTCCGGCAGTGTCACAGCAGCATCAGGCCAGCTGGGACACAGAGGTACCAGGCCAGGGGCTGGAGAAGTAGACCAAAGGGAGTGGATGAAGCTAAGGGGCCCACTCCAGATTTACACCAGTGGAAATAAGAGGGTCTGTGCCAGGTCACTGCTCTGAAGTCGAGCCAGGATTGTGGCTTTCCAGGGGCAGGCTGGCCCGCAGAGAGGAGAGGGAATCCTTGTCTCTGCACCTGCTGGAGCCCAGGGGTGTCTGGGCATGGACTTGGGCGCCTGGCGTGGCCCAGCCAAGCACAGGGCATGAGCCACACTGGGGGGAGCGTGGCAGGGCCCTGCTTCCCTGGTCTAACCAGTGCCTGTTTCTCTTCCTGCAGAACTGACCTGCCCCCCTCTCACAAGCCCATCCCTCCGCCAAAGAGGAAGCTGGAGATGAAAACCCACCTGACAGCAGAAGACATCCAGGTACCTGCCCCCACCCCAGTGCCAGGCCTCTGAAGGTACCACGTCTGGCCCTGGTGAGCCTCAGCCTGGGGTGTGGGCTAGGGGACAGTGGCCAGTGGCCCAGTGCTTTCCTGTCTCTCTGCAGTCAAGAGCTCTGGGTCCAGAGGCAGCCTGGACCTGGCTCGCAGCCATGGGGGAATCTGGGGCTCCCCATGGCGTCCATGGGGCAGGGGTTGCTCCCAGCCCGGTGGCAGGGGTGAGGTTGCAGCTGCCCCCATGACCCCATCCCCATCCGCTCTGCCCAGGTCGTGCACCTCGACAACATGAAGCACGAGGAGGAGATCCAGAAGCTCCCACTGCAGACGCTGTACTACGACCTGGCAGCCACCGAGCCTTCCCCCTACACCGACAGGCTGGTAAGGAGGGCCAGGGGCCTGGCACTGCCCCCCACCCCCACCCCAAGGCCCCTGCACAGGATCTGGACCAATTCATTACAAGGGCTTAGCTCCTGCTCCCTCCATCCATCCACCAGGGAGGACCAGCAACCATCTCCCCCACTGCCCCAGGGCCTCGAGTACCCTGACCTGAGCCACAAGGAACATGGCATCATGATCACTTGGTCCTGGCTGTCTCCAGCGTACTTTGGAGGACTCTGCCTGACCCTTTCCAACCAGGTTTCACCCCAGATTGGTGGCTCCTGGTAACATAGGACTCTGGCTCCCCTCCAAGATACAACACCCAGCGTCCAGGATGCAAATTAAGACCAAATTGGGCCTGGAAGAAGCTAAACTCTTGCCCCACACCCCAGCCCAGAGCAAGGATACAATGGATCCTATCCCAAAGCTGATCACGGTGCCCATCCTTGCGCGTGTCCCTTGGGGAGGCGGAGACACTTGAAGGCCCTCCTGACTCTGCCCTGTGTTGACAGGCTCTGGGGGTGCCCATTTCCCTGGGATTTCATCCACGCCGGAGGAGGGATTGCATCTCTGGTGGGCTAAGAAGCAGGGGGGAGGTGGTGGATGGAGGGTCTCGCGGGCCAGTCCCGCTCGCTGGGCCTGTGCTGTCAGCGATGGTTTCTGCACTGGGGGTGGAGGAGGCTGACGTGACATGAATTGGCTGGAACGGCGCGTTCCCAGCTTTGTAACTCGGTTCTGTGCCAGGCCAAGAGCACCGGCGTCTGGCTGGGAATCGCAGACGGCTCCCTAAAGCCCGTGTTAGGTGCAGATTTGTTCAGCTTGAAATGGAAAGATGGAGATTAGGGGTCAAAGAGACAGGGAGGGAGTTCAGCAGCAGCAGCAGGAAGGCTGTTTTCAAGGCCCAAGGCAGGGGTCAGGTGCACTGGCCCTGCCAGCTCATTGTGAGGCCACGGCTGTCTTCCTGCACGGCGGGTAGCGGTGGGCAGTGCACCAGCCCTGCTGCATGCATGGTCCCTCAGGCTCCAAGCCCAGTCGTGCTTGCTCAACCCTGCCCTTCAGAGAGAGTCGGCCGCCCGGCTGTGCTGCCTGGCACCGGGGAGCCACAGGGGCTTGTTCACCCCTGGAAAGTTGGGCCCTGGCATCCATGGTCCCAGGCACTGTTCCACCCCAGAGGCAGCAGCATTTCCACGGTGTCCTCTAGCCATAGGATGCACTTGGGGCTGGAAGACAAATGTTGAGGGCAGCGCGTGGCTCTGAAGAGCCCGTCCCGGGGGCGTCTGACTGGGTTCCCGTGCCCTCTGATCGGGGGCGTGGGTACCAGGGCCAAGCCACGCTCCACAAGAGCAGGCTCCCAGCAAGAAGCTGGCTCACTTGGGGTAAATAGCGAGAGGGCGGCTAATTAAAAAAGCCATCAGCAGCGGAGTTAGCGATGTGAGGGTAGGCTCAACCGGTGGCCGTGTGGTAACCATAGGAACCGAGTTTGGGGCTCTCCGACCTGCTCGGAGCAGGCGCGTATTCAAGGCTGCGGTTCCTGTTGGTCCTTTGTTAGAGGTCCCAGCAAAGAGGCTCTTCGGATGCCCTCACAGCCACCCTGGAAGGGGTCTCTGCAGGGCGGAGGCATGTGGGCAGGGGGCTGCAGAGCTGGGATGCTCCCCCGAGGCATCCACAGCATCCTGGGTCTGAGCTTTGGGCTGCCCTGTCCCTCCTGATCAGGGCTTCTCAGCCTGGTCTGGTGCATCCCTCCTCCAGGGTCTCAGGCTGGCCAGGGCGTGAGCAGCCTGGCTCCCTCCTGCATGTCAGCGAGCTCTGAGCCATCCTCCTGCCCTGCTCTGCCAGGCTGCTCTCATGCCCTGTTCTTCCTGCTCCTCCCAGTCCTGGCCAGTGCAGCCGCGGAGCATAACCCTCCTCCCCGAGACCCTGCAGTCCCAAGGGGAAGTCCTCCAGCCAGCCCTGCCCATCAGCCCTGGGTGTGATCCCAGCCTCCATTGCCCGCTTTCCGCCCCACATCCCTGGGGCTCGCTGCTGTCTGTCAGGCAGCCGGGCTGTTGAGCGGGTGAATGTCA